TAAACTCTATATAAACTCAAATGGAAATATCATACATGTATAGACAACTGTACCAGGGATACAGTTGTGGCATAATACTTTATGAAAAAAACGACCTACATATGTAATTTCTAGCATCTTTGCCATCCCACTGATCCCTAACATTAAAATTTACATCCCCTTGGTTGATATATACGCCATCATCAATATCCAGTATGTCATTATGATCTATTCCTATATTGTGCAAAACTGCACAGGCCAGAGTGATATCACACGCCTTTTCAGGAGTTGTTCTTAAGCCGCTGTGGAGACATGGAAATCTCTTCTTCAAGATGCCAAAGGTCTGTTCGATGACAACTCTGGTTCTAGCGTGAGCATTGTTAAATCTTGCTTCCGCATCATTTGAAGGGACGGGGTACGGTGTCATTAGGTGGGGTTTGCAAGGGTAACCAGAGTCCCCCAAGAGTAGTCCTGGATATTGTCCTTAAATATAAAGAAATGTATAAGATTACTTGAAAGTATCATATTTGTGCCCCCCCCCCTTTTTTTTAATCAAACCGTGGCAAAAAAAAATAGCACTCTAATTTTTGAGTGAACTCAGTAAAAGTGCAATAAGCGCTAATCGGTGATTTTCCACGGTAGTGACCCAGGCAATAATTGTCAATAGCAGTAAAGAATGGTTTTCAACCTTGGAAAGGGGGGGGGGGGTCCTTAATATATGCACTCAATAATAAAATAGAAAACGTATGTGGTATATATTGAATTACAATGACATTTACAAATATTTGGGTCAAATGTCAGGTGCTTTTATGTTGGTACATGTACAACTCTTTGTTTAAGCCCTGTTCACAGAATTGTATTGTTTGTACATGTATATGCCTAGTTTTTATCAGATAATCGTTCACAGAATTGTATTGTTTGTACATGTATATGCCTAGTTTTTATGAGATCGATCGCAGTTCGTTATCTTCATCTTCTTCATTAGATCTTAAAACTTTTGAATCCAAACCCCAAAAGTTGTTCCAATTTGCCACTCTTAGGGAAATATCGATGATTAGCATCACACGTTTAAAGAATTTTGTAGAATTTATCGCTGTCGAAAAATGGGATTTCTTTCCATATACATGTATATATACCGATTTCAATAATTATTCAATTTAACAAAACTTTACAAATGAAGTTACCATTTTCAAAGGCAATGCTTATATGACTGTCTCGGTAAATCCTGCTGTCATGTACACTTCCAGGCCACTTGGCGACACAGTTCAAAATTCTAAATTTGCCATCGGAGATCATCTGATAATACGAATAATTAAATATTATTACTCGATAGAGATTTTTATAATTTTTAAAAATCTTTAAAAAATATTAATTTTACGATGGCCAGTGCAAATAATTATAATTCAAAATAATTAAAACAAATTACCTGTACATTTAGAGAATGGTACCCTTTTCTATTCAAGAAATCTGGTTCATTTTCTGAAGGTGCCTGAATTTTCATCAATGCACCCGAGGACATTTGGAAAACCTAGGACCATGAAATAAGTAACCATGTGAACACATTAAAAAAAACATGAAGAATGTTGCAACTAATAAGGGAAAATGATAGCCATCTTCTATTAGAAAAGTCTTGAATTTATCCACTATTTTGGCTATAAGTTATTCTTAATTATTTTCTTTAATTTGCATTCAATTTTGTTATTGAGGTAGTGCCCCCCCCCCCCCCCCCCAAACACCTGAAGTGTGGATGCCCCCTTCTTAAATTAAGTAAGAGTCTTCAAATTCTCAAGAATGAGATTTCTCAGTCAATCACACCCATTTTTCGTTCCATACAGGCAGGATTGTACGTTTTCTTAAGTTTAGAGAATGGCCATGCATGTATAATACATTTACGTTATAATAAACTTTATTATATACTGTACATAGCCATGCAATCTCTAAACGTAAGAAGTACTATCTGCTTGCATGAAACGGCATAGGTCCTGATTGGGTGTGATTGATGGGGAAATATTATATATTTGAGAAAGTATAAGTTCTTACGATTTTTTAAATTATTGTGTGAGTGTGTGTGTGTGTGGGGGGGGGGGGTCCACACTTCAGGTACCTGTGAATCCCACCTTTCCCATATATTTTTTTGGGCCAATTATGTGTACATGATGGCATAAATAGAAATCGTTCCATATCTTTTCTTTCTTTTTGTATTTTTTTTTAAAAAGTTTTATTGCAACAAAGTGTAAGATAAGATGTATGCGAAAACAAAACGGCTATTGTTTTATTGATTCGAAGGATTTATGGTACGATGTAACTTGCACCCATTTGTTCTGTGATTACTTCCCTTGTTTTGTTGTTTACCTGCGATGGAATAGAAATGCTTTTTCACTCCATCAGCTGCATGTCTTGCTGGCATCCTTATAAATTGCCGTGACATCTGACGCAAAGCATGACACACATCCTTAACCGCCCTACACACAGTGGATGGGGACAGGCTGTCAAATGTATCGGCTACAAAGGAATAAAACCTCCGGTGGCGAGAAATCTCAGTGTGGCCATAACCTGCAGAAGGGGGGTGAGGGCACAGCTTCGCAGAGTGTCTCTCTCGAGAAATCGTCTTAATAAATTCACCACGAACAAAATTGTGTCCGGGCGGAAACGATACCTTTTGAAAATTTCCTCCTCTGGCATTAATTCTAAAGGATTTTCACGGTCAACAAGCCTGTTGTGAGCAACTCTCTGTCTATGTCGACGTCTACGACGCTGCCGTCGGTTGTTCACCGCCATGTTTGAGATATTTTTAAGGACTTAAGTTTCCTAACAAGGTAACTTAAGTTTTTTCTCAGTTTGAGCAAGAAAAAGAACTTAAGTTTTTTCGAGAAATGCAATATTTTGAGTTTTCTCAAATTTGAGATTTTTCTCAGAAATTTGAGTAAAAACTCAAACTTAAGTCTGAGATTTAACTTAAGTTTTTTTCGAGAAATCCAAGCCAGAGCTACAAGAGCTAATGCAATGGAAAGGTATCCGTCATCCGTTTTTCTGTCTGTAAACATTGTACCACAGATTTGGTCCAATTTCAGTAATACTTGGTACATAAGTGCAATATATTAAGATACACAATAGTGTTAATCGGTTTTTGATTTCGTCAAACGGTGTTGCTATGGTAACAAAAAGATTTGAAATTCTCTCAAAATTCTCCTCCTCCCGCAGTTTTGGTCTATTTCAACAAGACTTGGTACAGAATTACAATACACTAAGATTTTTTATTTAAACAAAAGATGTTATCATGTTTAATTTAAAAAAATATCTCTGGAATTTTACAGTTTCACCCAGATTTCAACAAGGCTTGGTGCACAAGTAGACTATGCTAAAATATACGTAGTAAAAGCCGGTATAGCTACAGTCTCGTCAGAGACTTTTGCTTTTTTAAATACATCTGTACATTAATAGCACTATATAACATTTTCAGCTTTCAAACTATCTGAAATTGTGAAGTCTTCTCTCTCATGCAAAATATACAGGGAAAACGTGAAAAGAAATTTCACTAACAAAGAATACGAGGGTCATTCAAAAAATACGTAGATAATGTTCCTCATCATCATATTATTTTTACGAGATTAAAGATCAACACATTTTCATATATAAATTTTTTTTTTTTGTTGATATGTGAAGTTTCATTCCATTTGATTAGATTAAACTGAAGTTCGCCAATTTTAAACGCAACATGTTTTGTCACCACGGAGCACGGTTAGCAACATTGTAACGTCAAAAACAACGTCGAGAAAGTTTTTTTTTGTCAAAATTGCTCTGCCTTTTCAATTCATACACGGTTTATAGCGTCTTATCAATTCACAAAAACGTATCCATAACACTTGACACCAAGTTTGCTAACAATTGTTCGAGTAGCTGAAGTTGAATTGTCAGTGTTTTCAAATTCTTTACCGCGTAGCTCTGTTTTCACAAGTTACAAAACAGTGAAGCGCATATGACCTTTCATGACGTTACTAACTCTTTTGACAAGATTTTTAACTATAATCTGTTTCAGACCGTCTCCATCGCCCGATTCAAAGTCTCTACAACACAAAAATTGTCTTTTCCATTATATACAAATCCACAGCTCTTTTTTTTTTATATAGATTCCCTACTTCCTCCATCATTTTAAGAGTTTGTTTTAGAAATTTCCCGAATGCAAAACAAAATTTTATTGCTACTCGCTGCTCCGTGAGGTCCTTCGACGTCATGCTGTTTTGCTTTTTTTTTAATCAAGTCTTTCTGTCTTTACAAATTTATATCTTTTAAACGAAGCGATGTATCACATTACTTTTAAGCATCTGGAGTAATAGAACAATAATTAATTTAAACATTTAAATATTATTTTATTTAAGCACCATTCATAAGAGGTACGGCTATAAATATTATAAAATGTAAAATTAGTCAATAACACAATTTTGACCCTGCTCCGTGACCCCATTTTTGCTGTCTTAAATCTTTGACAATTTTGATAAATATCAATATAATCAAGCGGAGAAGGAAGACGCAGCTTTTATAAATTTATTAGGAAAAAGAAAAAGCAATGGCAGATCTGAAATATATACAAACAAATAATACAATATCATAATATACGTAGACTTTGAAATTAATACACTGAAACAAGATACTTTAATTTCCTATTCACTTCAAAAATAAGAAAATTTAATTTTTCTTAGCCCAAAAGTGGTATTTTCATAGTTTAAAAACGTTTTTTTCAAAAATATGAAAAATACTTAAGCTTATCACTTGGACTTAATAAATAAATTACAAAGAATTTAATAAAAGAAACTTACCTTTCAAGTGGTGACAATGGGCAGCTGGTAATTTGTAAGAGTAGAGTTAAATTTCCCGCACTGACAGTAATGAGCCCGTGCCTCAGTATTTATAGAAGAAAAACCGGTTAAACAAGATTTACTGGGGGTACAAACTTACTGGCCAATAAAATTTTATGAGTAGAATTCATGAATGAAAACCAAAACACGAATTGGCTACTAGCAAATATGGCATATAGTAAATAATGGCTCAGCTAGTTCTTAAGAAAAAATAGAAAAAAATATTTTAAATAAATATCACTCTGCCACATCAAGATAAATTCCAAATTTTTACTCAAATTATTTGAATCTTGTTAAAATATGTGTAATAAATTTGGTTGTAATATGACGTTGAATAAAAAAGTTATGACAAAAGTCTACGAACTTGTTGAATGACCCTCGTCTATACAATCCTCTTTTACCTTTGCAGGAGGCATAAAACTTTTGGCGTATATATGTTTGAAAAACAACTCATCAGAAGTGTATGATTTGTAAAGCTATTGAATATTAATATGTTTCTTGTCATTACATCAAAGACCCTATTTTTAGAATAAAAATCTTACGTGAGAATCTCCGTGGACTGTGGTCTGTTGACTTTTCTCAGTATCGATATATCATAACCATAAGGCTAAATTCAGCTTCACGTTAAACAGGGCAAATGATGGGGATTCAATAGTTTACCTAAAGAGTCATGTCCTTTGTAAATATGAGATGATTAGAAATATGTGAAAAAGAAACAAATGAGAGGACATTTTCTCAAGAACCACTTTGCCAGAAAACGAAACTTACGCGAAAGACTTTTTGCATGTATTAAGTGTTAAGTTAAATTTGTATACAACATTGCACCAGGAGCATCTGTGGGGTTACATCAAGGACTCACAGCGCAAGATTGGGCAAATCTTGAAAAATCTTCGTAAAAATCAGGATCATATTTTATCCCATTAATTCCACTTTGTAAAATTTTTGTCCCTTGAATTAACATGAGGCAAACATTGATTACCAGATTTGCATATGGGAATGTATAGAAATTGTTCTCTTAATCCCACAACAGAGATACCACAATTTTCATTTTGATATATGCAGTCTTCTCAGTGTTACATGTAAGTATATCCAATATGATATCTTTACCCATGGCGTACACTCATATATTCTAATAAAAGTTGTACATGACATTATCTGTTAAGGAAATCATTCAATCACGTATGGATGCATCCTAACGTAAGGATATTTTAAATTTGATACAATCAAGGAACTGAGATTAAGATGGACAGGCAGACTAATAAAAACTGATGAAGGATAGCGTCAAAATTACTTCTGACCAAAAGTGTTGGATAAAGCTTACAATTATTCGACAGATAATATCCATTATATTAATATGAACAAGTATTGGACGAGAAATGTAAATTATAACTAGAAAAGCAGGAGTGGACTGACAAGCAAGACTGGACACTCTCAATATTAAAAGAAACATGACATTGTGCAAATTTTACATGTATATTTATCAAAACATTTTTTCAGAGCTTGATTGTACAGAGTCAATACAAAATGGTCATCTTATAAATTGTCAGTCAAAAGCTAAAGAAATATGTCGTTATCAATGCAATAATCCTTTTGAAGTCGATCCATCTGTTCAGAACATTACATGCAATACGACTGGGGAATGGAGTCACAATACCAACGATCTATGTGGTGAGTTCGTTTGTTGAAAAGAGAATCAGTGTGTTAACTGGTTAAAGGTATGCAACAACGAAACAATGCTTTTTTTATATATATAATTCTGTTATAACATACATTGTACCTTATTTCAAGTAAGATTATGTCCGTCAAAAATCCCGAATGGAAATTTGAGATCTGGTTGCCAAAGAAAAGGTGGAAGCAAATGTTCATATACATGTGACCTTGGTTATCAATCTACCATACCTTCAGACTACATTATTTGTACATCCGACTTCACATGGCATGAAAATATAGAAGAATTATGCAGACGTAAGAAAATATTAATTTTGGAAAATTTTATTCGGTTTCATTAAAGTTTGAACTACTTTTCAAATGAAAACGTCATTTGCAAATTGAATTTTCTACTGAGAAACCTAAACGTCGCGCGCAGAATTGGGGCTGATTTTGTAACGTCAAAGAAACGTCAATAAACACTAAAAGTTGACTTCCAAGTGTTGGAATATTCATTATATCTTTCATGTAGAGAATAATTGATTCAAAATATAGATTCTTAAATTGCCCCGATTGAGTTTAATTATAGTTTGACAATATCTAATGTCATCCAATACATCGATGTCCTTTTCATTCTCTATAATAGCATTTGTTTCAATATGAATGTAGAATGTTTTCTAATATACGTTTAAAGTACTAAAACGTCCCATTCAGCAATGTTGAATTTTTCTTTACGATAACGATTTCTGTATTCTCTTGTCTTCTTTCACTTCCTTTTTTTTTTTTTTTTTTTTTTTTTTTTTGGCTGGCGATAGTTTTTATTCCCTTAAAATTGCAAGTGTACAAAAATCTATATTTGACGTTATTTCATGTTTTCTAATAAAAAGCACAAAAATATTAAAAATTTAATGTGTAACAAAATAGACTAGACATCCAATTTTTGCTCTGTTTTCTAGAAAAGGTTTAATTTTTTTCTATTTTTAGGTCACCTGAGTTTACTCAGGTGACCTATTGCTATACGTTTCCGTCCGTCGGCGTGTTAGTGCGTTAACATTTGAACATTTTCAGCTTCTTCTCTGAAACCGCTCAACCAATTTCAACCAATTTTGGCATATAGCATTTATGGGTGAAGAGGAAGAAAAATTGTGAAATTCATGGTCCCTGCCCCCCTGGGGCCTGAGGGGTGGGGCAAAAGCCACTAAAATTAATGTAATCTTTAAAAAAAATCTTCTTCTTCTTTACTCATGCACATCAAGCAGTCAAACTGTTGGCATGATTGTAATAAGCATTGAGCCCTCTACAAAAATTGGGAAATTCATGGTCCCAGGGTCAGGGGTTCTTGTGCTAGGATGGGGCTATATAGATCATATAGTGAAAGTGCATTATTTCTTTGAAAATCTTCTCTGCTCCTGGGTATTAAATATACTAACTAAGTACATAGTTATGAAGAGCAAGGGTGCTTCTTCCAAAATTGTGAATTTCATGCCCCAGGGTCAGGGGTTCTGGTGTTAGAGCGGGACTCTATAGATTAATTAGTGAAAATGCATTAATTCTTTGAAAATCTTCTTCTGTGCTCCTGGGTATTAAATAAACTAAGTACAGAGTTATGATGAGTAAGAGTGCCTCTTCCAAAATTGTGAATTTTATGCCCCAGGGTCAGAGTTTCTGGTGTTAGGGCGGGGCTCTATTGATTATATAGTGAAAATGCATTAATTCCTTGAAAATCTTTTTCTCTGCTTCTGGGTATTAAATAAATTACTTAAGAACATAGTTATGATGAGCAAGAGTGCCTCTTTCAAAATTGTGAATTTCATGGCCCCAGGGTCAGGGGTTCAGGTGTTAGGACTGGGTCTATTGATTATATAGGGAAAATACATTAATTGATTGAAAATCTTCTCTGCTTCTGGGTATTAAATAAACTAAGAACATAGTTATGTTGAGCATGGATGCCTTTTCAGAAATTGGGAATTTCATGGCCCCTGGGTCAGGGATTCAAGTTTTTGGGCGGGGCTCTATTGATTATATATTAAAATTCCTTTAATTATTTGAAAATCTTCCTCTATGCGCCTGGGTATTAAATAAACTAACTTAGTGCATAATTATTATGAGCATGGTGGCCTCTTCCAAAATTGTGAATTCCATGTCCCCTGAGTCAGGGATCCAGGTGTTAGAGCGGGGTTCTATTGGTTATATAGGGAAAATACATTAATTCTTTGAAAATCTTCTCTGCTCCTGGGTATTAAATAAACTCACTAAGAACATAGTTATGGTAAGCATGGCTGCCTTTTCAAAAATTGTGAAATTCCTAGCCCCTAGGTCAGGGGTTCTGGTGTTATGGCGGGGCTCTATTGATTATATATTAAAATTGCAATAATTCTTTGAAAACCTTCTTCTCTGCTCCTGGGTATTAAATTAACTAACTTAGTGCATAGTTACGATGAGCGTGGTGGCCTCTTCCAGAATTGTGAATTTCATGGCCCCTGGGTCAGGGGTTCAGGTGTTAGGGCGGGGCTCTATTGATTATATAGTAAAATTGCATTAATTCTTTGAAAATTTTCTTCTCTGCTCCTGGGTATTAACTAAACTATCTAAGTGCATAGTTATGACGAGCATGGTTGCCTCGATCTTCAAAAATTGTGAATTTCATGGCCCCAGGTGTTAGGTCGGGGCACTATTGAAATATATTGAAAATGCATTAATTCTTTGAAAATCTTCTTCTCTGCTCCTGGATATTAAATAAACTAAGTACATAGTTATGATGAGCATGGCTGCCTTCTCAGAAATTATGAATTTCATGGCCCCTGGGTCATGTGTTCTGGTGTTAGGGCGGGGCTCCATTGATTATATAGGGAAAATGCAAAAATTCTTTTAAAATCTTCTTCTCTGCTCCTGGGTATTTTTCAAAAAAAAGTTAGTGAATGGTTTTAAGGAAGAATGCCTCTTCCAAAACCGTGAAATTCATGGCCCATGGGTCAGGGGTTCTGGTGAAGGGGGGGGGGTCTATTGATTACATAGTGAAAATGCATAATTTCTTTCAAAATCTTTTTTTCTTCTACTGGTTTTTAAGCAAACAAGTGTATAGTTATGATGAGCAAGGGTGCTTCTTCCAGAATTGTGAATTCATGGTCAATTGGTCAGATGTTCTTGTGTAAGGATGGGGCTTTATTTATTAATAATATAGTGAAAATGCATTTCTTTGAAAATCTTCTATGCTTCTGGGCATATTCGAGGCAAACAGGGTAAAAGTTAATATGCAAGGATATTTTTGCCAGAATTTTGAACACCTGGACCATTTAGTCAAGTGTTCTGGTCCTGGCCAGGGCTCTTTTAACTTGTATTCTGCTGAGCAAAGTTATTCCCCTTTGCCATTCACCTTTGATAATTAGTTATTGGAAATAATGTATTTGAAAGGTTAATAGAATAAGAGAATTATGCAAGAATATTTATTGTATAATGCAAAAAGTACTTCCGTAGTTTTAATGATCAGGTAGACTTGGAAATAATAGATGAATAAAAATGAGACAAAAATAACTTATCTTTTTAAATGTTCTTCAAAGGCCAAGAGAGGCCAATGTGAGAAGTAATAATATCGGGTTAAAAAATAGACATTTTGTTAACAGACTGCATGGAATAGTGATAAATGGGGGACAGATAGATACTAGACCAATTATTTTGTTGATGCCAATCATACTATTTTTCTTTGTTTTTGGGCAACAAAGTTTCATTTATCAGTTTATGGATCCTCTAAATTGTTGTATTGTACTCAGGTGACTGTTAGGGCCTTTGGGCTTCTTGTTTAAATATATCATTTATTTGCACATTTCAAAAATAAGACTTCATCTGTAACAAGTCTTCCATTTAAAAGAGAATAGCAAAAACTCACATCTATGCTATACGCCCAGTAAAATATCATAATTGGCATATTTTTGTCGTAGTAACAAAACCGACTAGACATCAAAATCACTCTACCAATCTCTCCAAATACTTGGTTATAACTTTTAAAAGGAACATTTGTCTTTTTCTTGACGTGCACATTTCATTTATCACTTTAGTTTTATCAAAAGAACTTGTTATATGGTAAAAATTCTTTACCAAACATTCCATCTTTCCTTGCTACTTGTCAAAATCACGACATTGTACAAAATCCTACCATTTTTACTAACAGTCGGAATCGGCCAGCATTGGATTTATTAATGAATTTTGCACGACACCTTTACAGGACATTATTGAAATTATTTGCAATTTGGATGGAAAACCCATGCAGCCAAAACGAATACAATGACTAAAAACTACTAGCGCCCGTCTCATAGTGTTACAAATACCCCAATACCTTGCGCGACGTAATGCGAGAGCATATTGTGAATCACTTATTTTCGTCGGGGTTTTATTTTCTTTGTTTCAATGTATGGAGAGACCCACAAATTCATGTCAACCACGAAATGCTAATTTTCACATTTATAACTACTCATCAATTCTATATCAAAATATCAAATCCCCATAAGCCCATATTCTTTCTCACATAAAAAATTGACCCCACGAAAATTTTTGATTTTACAGTATCTGTTTGCCTTAGATATGTTCTAGAATTGGAATATATCATACAGTTAACAAAGAAGTGGCACGATGTATCTTTTTAAGGTATAAGTTGTCCTCTGGAAATACCCAATGGAAATTTTTCATCGCATTGTCGAGGAAATATCGGAGATAAATGTGAAATAGTGTGTCAGGAGGGATTTAATGCGGAACCTCGCTACATAGTTTGTACATCCTCGGGGTCTTGGGACAAGGACATTCATGCTGTTTGCGTGCGAAGCACAGGTAAGTTAAAAAACGAGCATAGTATGAACTAGAAAAATAGGTTAAGATAAAGAACAGAGATCGATCTCCAAAAAAAGCAACAATACAAATCCATTAACAGGGCATAAACACGGACCCCTGGATATTCCAGAGGTGGGATCAGGTGTCTAGGAGAAGTAAGCATACCTATACTTTAATAATTAATTCCTCAATAATCATAGCAAGTTTCAAATACATATAGATAGATGGTAAAAAAAAAACTATGACATATAATGTTACGGACGGTATCGCAGTACGGCGCACGAATTGCTATCGGCATGTCACGGACTCCCTACACCTTGTTACGACAGCCGTCGTGTTCTGTTCATGATCAGTCAGACAGAACAAGATTTTTTTTCTATTTACATTTTTTTATATATATAAAAAAAATCAATATGAACAATATTTACAAGTCTCTATCAATCCATGTCATACAACCACGTCCAGACACGCGCCTTTCACGACGGGCACCCGCCAACTGGCTTGCAGTGGGTCTCCGGTCTGTTTAACGTCGTTGCCAACACACATATGACAAGATAGTATTAGAATTATATCAGGAACCTTTAAATCAAATAATATTTTTTTTAGTCACAGGTTACGTATAACTGAAATAAAACTAGTCACCATTGACTATCATTGCAATAATGGCATCCCATACAAACAGTTCATCTAACCAAACACTGTTATATATGTAGACAGCGTTAAGAATACACAATTTCTTAACACAAGTGGCTTAAACAACTAAACCCATGACCGACTGTATATGCGTAAAACAAAATACACTGCATGCATAAAAACAGAACATTACCCGCATGAGTAACTCTACTCAGCAAAACCTATATACGTAAACAGTAACAAAAACATTACTTACCCGTTTTTTTTTTTTTACAAAGTTAACAATTCTTAATGCAATATCAAAATACTAAATCATAAGAAAAATTTAACTTTTCTCCTCATGAAGAAATGGTTACAGTTGTAGAAACTACCTAACTACACATCTTGGACTGTACGTCAAGCATGTAAAAAGTATGAAAACGTGGACCCCGGCTACGTGGTCAGCAATGTAGCGATTCAAATATTACAATAGGCCGTAACTGACCAATGCCTGCAATTTCTAAATTTAAGGTTCATTACAGGTAACAAAATAAAGAAGTCCCGTAAAGTAAAATTAAGTAAAAATCATAGACATAAATAAAACAGTAATCAGGATAAAATATTGATTGTGACACGCCTTATAAAATATCTTCCATCTTTGTGCATTTCAGTCGCCTGTACACCCATTAATAAAAACAATTTGAAAACACTGCAAATTTAAGTTCTTGTTGGATGTTCTTATCTCATATTTTAATTCATCACGGCTTTCAAAACGATGTCCTCTCAAGTAGTCCTTAAGCTTTGGATCCGAAATCCAGCGGGGCCAGATCCGGTGAGTACGAAAGAAGCTTTACACTTGAAACTTAACATGTCCAACTCTAATTCTTATCCCACCAACCGATGGCTTGGGCGTTATCTCGGTAAAATACCATATTTTGAAGATTCTCAGCAAGATGTGGGCTCTTTGTGCATATAGCATGCAATAATTCACGGCGAACTACCTGAAATTAAAAAAAAATCATTTCAGCATTTTTATTTAACAAATGTTTAATTTTGATTAATCAGTGCCAAATTGTGTATAAAAATGAGATAAAAATAAATCTATAATTATTTTTAAATTAAATTAATTTCAAACATTTTTTAACAAAACCCCATTAAACGAACTTTCGCTCAAAAATCACCCATGCCATTTGTAAACTAAAGATGGGGAAACTCTCCTTTATATTCTATTTAAACATTTGGAGACTTTCCTATATTTTAAAGTCTCTTTAAATGATATTTTATTTATTTTTCCTTTATTTCTATTTTGATTTGTGTCAAAAATAGATATTTGCACTTTTTAGACTCCGTTATGGAAGTGCAACTACCATACGACGTCACTATCTTGAGATTCTAAATGTTCGTGCGGTTTGCTTTCTGTAGGCAATAATGTCTGATCACATGGTCGACTTGTTAAGTTTTTAAGACAAAGAAGAAAAAGTCTGGGTTTAAATGCATACGCATTCATTTTTCAGAACAGTTCTATAAAAAGAATGTTTACAAATAACACACACACACACACACACACCCTCACACACACACACACACAACATAAAATCTTCTAGTAAAGGGAAATAATTATAGTTTCCTCATAATAAATAATAATATATTTATAATTAATAAATAATAAATAATAAATATTTATAATTAATCATAAAATATCATTTCATGCTTTATGTAACACAAATTCATTATCAGAAAATAATTTACTTTTCACTATAAACATTTTTATTTATAGCATTTATATCATTTTATATATAAAATATTTAGTCATCACAATATAGACAAAAGCATCACCAAACACAAATTTTACTAAATATATGGCACAGTATATGAACTTGATCTCTTTTACTATGATTCCTTCCTCAAACAGTCATACATGTAACTATAACAAATGATACATAAATTAAGTCTGACTAATTATTGGCAAAATATATTTAAAACTCGTAAAAAAATAACATTTTACACAAATATCATCCACATAACTTTCACACCTCATGCTCATAATTAATCATGTTAAAATATCAATAAACTGACCTGTTAAGTCAATTAAACTGTCCATAATTCCAATAGCATTCCAATGATACCAATAATTCCAATTGTATAGAAATATTGTCAATTTTCAGGAGTCAGTCAATACGCTGCTCTCTCACAAAGGGATCTTTCTGAATGTGTTTTAAAAATCTACAAGAGTGAGCTCCTCACAAGAGTAACTAATCAAATACACATATGAATTGCATGCTTGACTTAATGGGGGTACTATGGAAAAGCCTTTGTGTAATAAATGTATACATTCGCTCTTACTGATTTTTCAGATTTTTTTTAACCGAGGGACATACATCTTATAGATATAAATACAATATAAATACAGTACACAATAGAGCATTTCATATGAGCAACATATATGGTAAAATATCAAGTATGAATAATGAAAGCATTAAGTATCCAGCAGTTTATTTTTAAATTTGCTTGCAAAAATTTGTTTTCCATGGTTACACATTCCCTTTGTATTTGAACTTGTACACACTCAGTTGAATTACGCAGGTATGTTAATGCTACACCGAGATTTCTAACTAGCCTACACAATGTGACGTGAACTTGAAAGATAAAGATTTCTTAATTTAGTTATAATTAAAGATTTATTTCAAGTCTTAGAAATAAATTGAAACGTAAACCATAATAATTTATATAAGCTAAATCATGAAATATTTATTATGGAATAAATACATGTAATGAAGTATTTGTCACGGGGGTTAAAAACTAGTACCTAACCCATTACGTAATAGCTCTTAATCATATCTTCGCCGAATGAAAATGAAACAAGACAAAAATTCGTATAAACAAAGAAATGAAATGGGAATAAACAGTGAATATCACTTGTGATTCATATTAATGTTCAAAAATCAGATAATATATACTGATATATTTTCATTGTTTTTTTTTTCTCTTTGAAATCCCGATCAGCTTTTTTTCAACAACAGAGATGTAAAAGTTCAACACTACGCCGCATACTTTGAAACATAATTGTGTCGACTTCGAAAACTTGTATTCCATAGTACTTAGAAAGTACTGCTAGAATCGTGTTGTAAACTTGAATTGATGAAAATTCTTCGAGCTTATGTAAAAATTATACCAAAAAAAAAAAATTGGTAAGGGTTCATGCAAAATTTTAAAATGAGTATTTCTGTGACAGGAGCGTAGGATTCCAGCAGCATTTTTCTTTACACAGAGATGTATTACATAATCATTTTACAGACAGATATGAATAATCACAGAAAGTATTGGACTTTTCGCATTTTGTTAAGGCATATTTTTCTATTTATAGACGTCACGTGATTACGTCGTAGTGGACTGCTTTTTTAGCCTAGGCCACATTGATGTCTATACAATGGATAATAACAGTAAATCTATTATCCGTAGCTTTTTTATTCATCAATGTCACATTTAACAAAAAATATGTGAATTTCCAAAATAATGATCTGAATGCTAACTTAATATACCTGCGTATACACAATTTACACTAGGGCGACAGGAGTAACAGTTTTTTTTATAAAAGTTTTTCTAAAATTTTCATATTTTAGGCATTTAGGTACAAAATGAAATTTATCTTCTTATTCACCTGTAGAACAAAGATCACATTTTCTGCTATTCCTTGGGGTACATGTATTATAATATATCCCTCTTTCAATAATCAAATCATGAACACATAATCTTATTTGGGAAATACATGTTCTATTATTAGTGTATAAAGGTTAACAAAGGTATGATTGTTAAGTAAAATACTTTCATATGGTATCTTAACAGAGTTTGAATCTACATTATTGTTTTATACAAATCTGAAAAAACCATTTCTTTTATTTGTAGTCCATTCATCATCATTTTCTACCATTACCTGTACATCGACTTAAGTGTACAATTATCATTATTTTTGTTTAATTTAATCAGACACTTTAATAGTTTTTTTTTTATAAATTTGATAATATTTCGATACAATGACCTTGTCAGCAAATACAATTTATCATTAAGTCAAATGCTGACTGACGTTTTTCATACTAATTGTTAGGCCATTATTTACACACTGAATTGTCAACGGATTTTTCTGTTATTTCCCGATCAAGACAAGGAGCACACGGCAGGGAATTCTCCTCCATGGAACCTGATCCTACCTCTGATCTTTTAGAGGTCCGTGTTTGCTCTGCTCCAAAATTTTTATTGTTTAATGGACCTTTGAGCTCGAATACTTTTTATTATCTTCATACATTTCATTCATAGCAATGTTTTTTCTACACAACATCTTAGAAACGTTTTAGGATTTGAAAAGATCAAGAGATACATGTAGCCACGTGTAG